GCAAGCACAGTGTGCATTTGGGCACAAGAGAAACCCGGCAAACATCATTGCTCCCTTGTTTCCAAGGGTTGTCTGTGATGTTCAGGTTCTAGATGTGGTGGGACGCTGGGATCCACTTGGGATCAATTCCTGTGGAAACACAAGCGTATCCCCGCCCCCGAGTTATCAATGGCACGGGGCCTTCCCATTGCCCGGTGGCCCTATTACGAATATGGACCACTGGCCGTGTTTTGAACATCGGGGAAGCTCCCAAGTGTCGACTTACTCGTGTCACAGCACTATTGTCCCTGTTTAGAAAATTGAAAACAGAAGTGGCTTTCCACAGTCGTTCCTGTGGTGGATCTCCCAGACTCCCCCTTTCTTGTTTGATTATTAATTGTTTTAGCGTTTGATGGGCCGCTCAACGATCGCTTGCCCTGTGGGGGAGTGTGGAATTCCAGGGCTGTGTCGAATGCCCCGTTCCTCTAAAAACAGTTGTGTGGTTTTGGATACATACACAGGACCGTTGTCTGTCTGGATGGTTTCTGGCACAGCCATAGCAGCCATAGCTGCTAGCCAGCGTCGTCGGAATTTAGCAGAGGATGCCTAGGAAGATGGATTAAAATGTGACCAGTGTAGTCTGCAAGTGCAGTCTGTACGCTGAGAGGTTCTGCTCACATCCATTCCAAGTCCTTTTTGTTAGTGGGAATAGAAATGAACTCTGGGTCACTGGCTTTTAGAGTCTGAAGTCACTGGTGGCCATTCTGAATGAAATTGGCAAACATTTCCAATCGTGAAGTTACAGCCTTTGTAAACACATGAGGTACAAAGAGCCACTCTGGTATCATGAGTGGGTCCTTTCTTGTTGAGTCCCATTGACTTAGAAGGGCACATGGCTGGAAGGTGCTTTGAATGATCACTAAATGCACTGGAAGTGTTAAGCAGAGGCGATGACTTTGACATGTCTGTAAAGCTGCTGTTACTTGTTGTAGACCTTGCAATCCATGAGGTGTCAACTGCCCAACTGCCTCTTAGAATTCAAGTCAGGATCACCCTTTAACAATTGAAACAGGGGGCCTAAATCTTGGGTAGTGACGCCCAGAAAAGGTCTGAGCCAATTGATAGTTCCTAATAATTTTTGCAGATCATTCAGAGTCCTTCTTTGTGATGCCAACTTTAATGCTTGCGGTTGGATGTGTGTGTAGTAATTTTCCATCCTGGATATTGCCAGGCTGGTTCACGTTGGACCTTTTCTTTGGTTGTCTCTAAGCCCATTCCTGGACAGCAAAGTGGACTTGGCAGATGACAGTGTGCAGGTCCTTGTCTTTCTCAGCGGCTAAAAGTATGTCATCCATGTAATGATAAAGGATAACAGGAGGGTTTGCATCTCGAACGGGTTGCAAGGCATTGGCCACTGTTAGTTGGCAGATGGTCGGGCTATTTAGCATACCTGGTGGCAATACAGTCCAGTGATACCGTGGTGTAGGCTGTTGTTGATTGACAGATGGCACGGAGAACGCAAACCGGGGTGCATCTCTTGGGTGTAGAGGAATGGCCAAAAAGCAGTCCTTGAGATGGATTATGGCTCTTGGCCAATTTTGGGGCAGCAGAGAGGGTGAAGGAAGGCCAGGCTGTAGCTCACCCATAGGCCCCATGACTGCATTTCTAGCTTGAAGGTCATGTCACAGGTGCCATTTGCCACTTTTCTTTGGTATTACAAATACAGGAGTGTTCCACGGGCTGGTGGTGGGTACAATGTGGCCAGCGGGCAGTTGTTCTTGTCCTAAGTCATGCAAGTGCAGCAGTTTGTCCTTTTTCAGGGGCCACTGATCTACCCAGACAGAGTTTTCTGTCTTCAGTGCCAGTAGGATTTAAAGTGTTCAAATGATTCATGCTTTGTACCGTGGCAAGGTCTCGATATTCAGCTAAAAACCCAGTGGATTGCAAAGCAGGTAAAATCATGGGCAGTAACAGTTTTCAGTCGTGAGGAATCATAACATATCTGTCACCAATGGTCGCCAATAGGTGAAAGGTATATGCCGATTAAAGACCTTAGTCCTTTACCCATTTTCTCAACTCTTTTACTGCATCATAGAGATATGTTTGTTACAGCAATCGATTGTTTGTATTATTGCTGTATGTAAGACTCCTCCATGTGTGTTATCCCATGTATTGAAAATGGGCACAGGGTTGTCTATGAGTAAAGAAATCCTAAAGAAGTCACCTTTAGGTTGTCTTTTGAGTCACTGGAAACAAGATGCTTGACCCCCCTGGTGGGGTTGCAAAAAGAGATGATTTCATTAAGTATTGTAATCTCCACTAGGGAGTGAAGTGACCAGTAAATGGTACGATAAGCTCAAACACCTTGATACAATGAATGTTGTTTTAAGGAGGGAAGAGAAATGGGATGAGGTACTGTATGCTGAAATGTTGTTTACATGACGATAGCATCCTGAGTGGCAGAAGAAGTGTGCAACCAATTTGGCCCCAGCGCATCCTCTAGTATTGGCATTAGAAAATGACAGGCGAGAGAAAGGGAAAGTGTTCAAGAGGTGTTGCTCGGCACATGGTATTGGACAGAGCGAGTTGCCTCGCAGTGAGGAGGAAGAGGATGTGGAGATGTTGATGGCTCCAGGGTTGAGACAGAGGCCTCCGAATCATGGTCCTGAGCCCTCGAGAGAGGGAGGATGAGAGGACGAGTGCGAGGGAGGGGCTGCCCGTTTCAATTTCACATGTAAATAACTGGGAAGTAGCTGCAGGTGCTTCTAGAGAGGATCCTGATCAGTATTCTATCAAGTATTATTTGATAGTACAGAAAGGGAGATGATTCGTAGAGCCACAAGAACTCCAGTGGAAGCACAGAGAGTAGCAGGGCCGTTACAAGGACAGCTAGAACATCACTTTCCCTCAGTAGATCCCGGTTGGGACCCTAATGATGCTGGGGACAAAGTGTGATTAAGACAATATGAAAAGTGGGGTTTGTTTGGTATACAGCAGAAAAGCTATCCCAAAAGCAGTGAATTGGTTGAAACTACATGAAATTAGGCAAGATAGAAAGGAATCCCGAACCGATTTTCTAAATGAATTGAAAGATGCAGCTCAGAAGTATGCAACTCTGGGTCCCGAGTCAGAACCAGGGAAAAACCAGCCAGCGACTGTTTACTGCCCAATCTGCTGATGACATTTGGAGCAAGTCACAAAAATGACAGGGAGCAGATTGCAGAGACTTAGGGAAAGGGCTGACTATGGCTTGGGTGGTCTACAGGCACAGAGATCAGCAGAAGGAAAAAGGGAATACGCTCGGCTAATTGCTGTACTAGAAGGGACTACTAGTTCTCATGGAGGACCCAGAGGTGGATCCAGAAGTAGTCATCAAGGAAGGTGACGTGGCAGAGGATTCCCTAAGTCCAGAGTAGAGGGGAATCGGTGTGCTTATTCCAAAAAGGAGATGAGAATGCTTATTGCATTGGAGACGAGAATGCCCATCTTTACAGAGCTCTGGGGAACTAGATGCTTCCATGCCAGCTAGAGAAGGTTGAGATCGATGCAGACCAGAGGAATCTTCCCCAGCAGAACGCCTGGTTAGAATTAAGCTGGGGAAGATGACGCAGAGACAGAATGCTGAGATTATATAGAAGCGGCCTGTTCAATTCTAAATACAAAAAGATATGAAGTAGGTTATGACACTGGAAGAGTTACTGGTGTGACAGGGAAGCCAGAAACCAGAGATTTCTTTAAACCTTTAAAGTTCAAGATTGGAAAGCAATGGGTGACACAGCAGCTTTTGGACTTGCCAGGGGCACCAAAGCCATTGGTTGATTGGGAGCTGTTAGAAAATGAGAAGCTGCAATAAGATGGAAAAATGGAGATGCAGAAGTGATTACTAGTCATAAATGTATGTCATGTAGATGCTCGTGTACCCATGAGTCGAGCCACTGGGGAACATCAAAACAATCAGCGAGTGGCCCAGGCTGCTAAGATTTTCCAGACAGATTTGGACTGGGAACATAAAAGTGAACTATTTCGAGCTCGGTGGCCCCATGACACTTCAGGTCATCAAGGAAGGCATGCAACATACAAATGGGCCTGTGACCAAGGGGTGGATTTAACCATGGAGGCTCTTGCGCAGATTATTGACGATTGTGAAACATCGAGAGAGGACTCTCGGTTACAACTCAGGATGCTTATGATATTACTTCGTGGCAGAAGATAGGACAGGAGCTCTGGGAGGATGTCCAAGTGGAATCAAAAGTAGCAAAAAAGTTAGCTAAGACTTACAGAACTTTACGGCTTATGATTGAACAGCTACATGGGGAGGCTCAAGTTGCTGCAGCCATTAAGGCAGTAGTACGGGCTTCCGATAATAATGAAAAAAAATGTGGCAGTCATGCTGCCAGCCTGGAAGGGGTCTGTCCCCTGATTGATGATCCCCCGAATGATCCTCCTGTCGCTTGTCCAGTCATGCCGCTCTTGGAAAAAATTGCATGGGGGTTGGATGATGAATTGCCACCTTGGATTCCGGAGGAGGAGAAAAAGGGCCCTGTGGGTGTGGCGAGTAAAGAAAACGGTTTGCTGGACGAACCGATTACATTACGTGCCACCGAGCCCACGGCACCTCCTGTGGAAGCGACGGAGACGGATCAGGACATTTCGCTCAACCTTCCGCCTCCCCCCCGACTTCCTCGACCTGCCTCCTCTCCCTCCCGAGGACAGTGATCTTTACAGCAGCGATGAGGATAATTCACAGCGAGATCCTTAAAGCAAGTTGCGGAAAGAACCCCAGGATCAGAAGGGAGCCATGACGGACTTGCTCCACCAGAGGGAGCGCTTGGATCGCGATTCAAAAAAGAGACATGTAAAAAAGGCATATGAAAAGGCTCATAAAGCAATAGTTGAGGGTCTGAATAACATTGATAAGCAACTTGTAGAGACTTCTAAAAATGTTGGGAATAAGGGAGGGAATGATAACGATCGGGGGAGAGTCTGGGGTAGAAAAGAAGTATTGGGGGGTGACAATGATCATGGGATACCGGTACCTAAAGATCCTAACTTTAACCCACAAAAGCGTTATCGCGGAATGGTTGAAAATTGTATCATTCAAGGGGATTTCACTTTTGAGCCTTTGGCGGTGCCGGGGGTTGTTAGACAGGGGAACCCTACCTGGGAACCATTAGATTGGAAATTAGTCCAGTCAATACAAAAGACTGTAATGCAGTATGGGCATACAAACCAGTTAGTAAGGAATCAAATTTCAGCACTTATTAGATACACTGAACTAGTCCCCACTGATTTGAAAGCAATTGTGGAATTACTCTTGTCCCCCACTACGTATATGTTATGGATGGCTAAATGGCAGGAACAACTAGAGATTAAACAATTGGAAAATGTTAACTTGCCCAGAGATGACCTGCTGAGAGTGGTTACCCTTGATGCTCTTATGGGGACTGGGCGTTTTCGGGATGTGGCAGCACAAGCAGCATTATATACTCGTATCTTGCAATTGTCGAAAAATGCTGGTTTGGCTGCATTCCTTGCACTTCCCCAATTGAATGCACCTAACCCACTGTACACGAAAATTACCCAGGGACCGAACGAGTCTTTTCTTGCCTTTGTAGACAGATTGAGGGAAGCTATCGAAGCTGCCCCTAATGTAACAACAGAATTAAAAGCAGTATTAACCAAGGAGATTGCCATTCAGAATGCCAATGCTACCTGTAAACAATTACTTTCAGGTCTGCCCCCAGGGGCATCCATTACTGAAATAATAGAAGCATGCTCTAGGGCCCCCTATGTGGAAGAAGAAACTAAAGCAAAAATACATGCTTCTGCGTTAGCAGCAGCTCTTAAAACGGAAAGAAAGGTTGGGAATGGGAAGAGAAGTCCAAAGCCAAAATGTTATCAATGTGGTCAAGAAGGTCATTTTAAGCGAATGTGCCCCTGTACCCGTAAGCCAGGAAACCAGAACTCATTGAATGGTAATTGTGCTCGATGCGGTAAATTTGGGCATAAAGCGGCTGATTGTCGCTCGAAATTTCGGAAAGACGGAACTCCGCTGACTGGAGGCGTCTGTCAGGGAAACTGGCAAAGCCGCGCACCGGGGGACGCGGCGCACAAATATCCCCAGGGAACAGTCACGGCTGTGCCGACCAACCGCCATCCGCCACAAGGGGGAGCGCGGGAGTCGGTTTGGCCGTGGCAGAGCCAGTAACCATTGTCGATGCTGCGGTACATACACCCCCTGCCAATGGATCTGGGCCTTTGGGACACAATTTATCAGCTCTTTTAATAGATCCACCGTCTGCATCAAAGCAAGGCATCTTCGTATTGCCAGGACGTATAGATGCTGATTGTGCAGGGCCAATTGGAATCATGGTGCAATGCTTTGCACCCCCAGTTCATATTCCTGTGGGCAGTGTTATTGCTCAATTAATCCCCATTAGAGCATGTGTCCCAAACCCGGGTACAAAGGAACGGGGTGCCGGAGGATTTGGATCAACAGGAACCCCCAATGTTGCCTTTTGCCAAGTGCTAGGTGCTGAGAGACCGAAAAGAAGGGTCACTATGACAGGACCTGATGGGAACAGTATAAATAATGTGTTAATGATGTTGGATACAGGTGCTGATGTTACCGTAATTCCAGTTGCCTCCTGGCCAACGGCTTGGGAACTTGAAGATCCTGGGTCAACCATTTCAGGCATTGCGGGGCAAAGCAAAACTCAGGTCAGTAAAAATTTTGTTCTCTTTGAGGATTCAGAAGGACACCAAGCGTGGGTAAAACCTTATGTTCTACATACGTCCTTATATCTCTTGGGAAGGGATGTTTTGTCCCCGTGGGGAGTATGACTACAGACAGATTTTTGATAGCGACCACTGATGGCAGCTCTTGTCCTACTCTTAAATTAAAATGGAAAACAGATGAGCCCATTTAGGTTGATCAGTGGCTGCTACCTTTAGAGAAGCTGCAACACGTTCAGGACTTAGTTCAGGAACAGCTAAGATTAGGACACATTAAACCTTCAGTCAGCCCTTGGAATACACCTATATTCACAATCCAGAAGAAATCAGGGAAATGGAGATTACTTCATGATCTTAGAGCAGTAAATAAGTGTATGGTAGACATGGGAACTTTACAACCTGGTTTACCTTCTCCTGCTATGTTACCACAGAATTAGCATTTACTTATCATTGATTTGAAAGATTGTTTTTATACCATTCCACTCCATGAGGAGGATGGTGAGAGATTTGCCTTTACAGTGCCATCTATTAATCGTGCTGCTCCTTCTAAGAGGTATCAATGGGTGGTATTGCCACAAAGTATGAAAAATTCACCAACGATTTGTCAATGGTTTGTTGATCTGGCTTTGCAGTGATGGAAACAACAAAATATGAATCTGATTACTTATCATTACATGGATGATCTATTAGTGGCTAGCCCTCATCCACTTTCCTCTCAGAAGGAACAAGAATTAGTTTCTTGTCTAGAAAAATTTGGTCTTGTAATTGCCGCAGAGAAGGTTCAAAAGCAAACTCCCTGGAATTATTTAGGAATGGAAATAACTGAAACTCACCTCAAACCGCAAAAAATATTAGTAACACCTCAGGTGAAAACAGTAAATGATGTCCAAAAATTAGTAGGAGATATTCAATGGCTCAGACCTTTTTGTGGAATTACAAACAGTGATCTGGCACCACTATTGGAGCTATTAAAAGGAAGCTCCTCTCCGTCTGACCCACGAGAATTAACCCTAGATGCCATGAAAATTCTTGAGTACCTCGGTGAAAAGATCAACAGCATCGCAGCAGATCGGGTCCTACTCGACTGTCCTTTTGTTATTATAGCTTATAATAAGGAAACAGAAGTAGTTGCAATTATTGCGCAGACACCTAACAATAAACCCATGATAATACTGGAATGGGTTTTCCACAGTAGTACTCTAAAAACAACGATAACAACTCGGCCTGATGCTATTGGTCAGTTATTGTTAAAAGCCAGAACCCACCTTAGGATTTTAACAGCATGCGATCCGAACAAAATAATAGTACCACTGTCTTCTCTAGACTTAACTGATTAGTGGATTCAGACCTCAGAATCGTTTGCATTAGCTACTCATGGCATTACTTTGGATCATCATTATCCAAGTCACCCATTGTTTAAGACTTTGATTTTGGAGGAAGCTCCTATTCGAAGGCAATCTCTGATTCAGAACACTTTGACAATATTTACTGATGCTAGTAGCAAAACAGAAAAATTTGGCTATGCTTTTAATACTTTGAGAGGATGGCAGCACAAAATATGCAAGGCATCAGGATCAGTACAAGTGTTAGAACTAAAAGCTGTTTTGTTAGCCTTTCATGATTTTAGGCAAGAGCCTATCAATTTAGTCATTAATTCTCAGTACGTAGTTAGAGCTATTAGCCACATATCTCGCTCGTTATTAGGTTCTACTTCTAATCCTGTTATAAGTACTTTATTTACACAATTATGGAATGAGTTAGCCTACAGAAAGCAACCTTGGTGGGCGACACATATTCGAAGTCACTTGCAGTTTCCAGGCTTTTCACATGAGGGAAATGCCTATATTGATCAACAAGTAACTTCCCCTGTGGTACTTGGGAGTGCTGTCAAACAAGCCACTGAGTCACATGCATTTTTCCACCAATCCGCACGAGCATTGGCTAGGACTTTTAATCTTACTAGAAATGAAGCATGAGCTATTGTGGCAGCCTGCCCTGACTGTGCTCGCATTACACCTTTCCAGCAGTCCGGGACAAATCCTAGAGGTTTACAGCCCCGACAAATTTGGCAAACTGATGTCACAGAATTTGCTCCTTTCGGAACTCTTAAATTTGTTCACGTGTCTATAGATACATGTTCAAAGGCCATATGGGCTACGGCTCAGAGATCTACTAATTCTATTGCTTGTATTCAGCATTGGTCAGCTGCCATTGCAGTTTTAGGTTGTCCCGATTCAATCAAGACAGATAATGCACCTGCATATCATAGTCAAAGGGTAAAACAATTTATGACTCAGTGGAACATTAAACATGTCACTGGCATTCCTTATAACTCAGGTGGTCAAGCAATTATTGAACGAGCTCATCAGGATCTTAAACATCTACTTTTAAGTTTTAAAAAGGGGGGAGACAGGAGTCCACAAGCTATTATAGCAAAAGCATGTTATGTGCTAAATTGGTTGAACCCATGATCTGAACAAGATACGCCGCCTATGTTTAATCATTTCATAAAAAATGCCAATGATTTTTCTGATCAAAAAATTCTTGTTGAAGTGTTTAATCCTGTAACACAGGCCTGGGAAGGTCCACACCAATTACTAACATGGGGAAGGGGTTATGCATGTGTCTTAACAGACGGTTCGACGAAGTGGACTCTGGCCAAGTGGATCCGGCCTTGGATAACAAGGGATGACAAGTGGGCGAGTGATGCTGATCCCACGGATTCCATGAACACGGGTTGAAGACACAAAGCGAACTTTGTCGTTTGTAACTTATGGTGAAAAGTAATCAGCAATATGACTCTGAATAAGGTTCGGATGATTTTGTATATATGGACTTGCTTAACCTAACTGAGTATTTTGATTTGCATCACGTAGATCCTCAGGCCAATGTATGGCTCACATGGGCAAATCGTACGGGAACCACGGACTTTTGTCTGTCCTTAGCGCAGGCTGGTGACCCGTTTAGGACATGCTTGATCGGATATCCACATATTGATTGGGACAACTTTAAGGAATATGGGGTAAATGCAACAACTGTCAATAGTACGTATTGGGCATGGAGAAACAATAATTTGGAGGGGGGCTGTCTGCAAAGTAATGATTGGCCCCTACACCAAGGAACTATGTTCCAAAAAAGTTTGATCGAGCAGCTTAACACATCCAGTCCTCTGCCATTTCAAGAATTAGAATTATGGGGCTCTTTCCCTTCAGTTGATGGTAATTGGCTCAACATTACCAACCGGACCAATTGCACAAACAATTCTCCACAGATACTCCCAATTAATGGGTCAAGTGCCATATACTTTCAATCATCCTGGGATAGGTGGCAATATCAGCATGGTGAGACAAATCTGTTTATAGGATACCAGAATGTGTCAGGGAAGTCAGACCATTGGAATACAACTAGGCATGTGGGTGAAGTAGATGTGATTGTTATGGGTGGAGTGAAATTACCCCAAGGTTATTTTCTTATTTGTGGGGATCGGGCTTGGCCTGGGATACCACATCGCCCAGTTAGAGGTCCTTGCTATATTGTGAAGCTTACACTATTTGCACCTCACATAAGGGACGTGATGACACGGCCATACAATAGGTCAAAGAGATCCTTGCGTCAATTAAATCCAAATTGTAATGATAAAGTAAAACTCAGCAGGCTAAGTACGACCGTAGCTTTGTCCTGGTTTCTACCCGGAGGAATGGCTGCAAGTAATCGGAACAGGATTAAAAGAAGGCAGTAAAATAATTTAATACTACTTCAGACATTCTTTCTGGACTTACTAATGATGTAGATAGCTTAAGACATGCAGTACTACAAAACCGTGCCGCTATTGATTTCCTTTTGTTAGCTCATGGTCATGGTTGTAAGGAGTTTGAAGGAATGTGCTGTATGAACCTTTCAGATCATTCGAAAAGTATTTATAAACAAATTGAGGAACTGCGTTATAGAGTGAAAAATGTGAAGGAAGGACTCAGTGGACTGGATGCGTGGCTTACATCTCTGGGAATCACAGGATGGTTAAGGGACTTGTGTAAACAAGGGGTTACTATTTTGATATTTGTATGTGTTTTGCTAATGGTTATCCCATGTATTTTACAGTGCGTTCAAAATTGTTTGTCGCAAAGCCTTGATGCATTGCTTAAAAAGAAAGGGGGAGGTGTTGGGGCCTTAGCGATACTGAATGAATATCAGGAATTGTGAACCAAAGCCATGAGCTAAACTAAAGAATACAGTTGCAATTTAAGTTAGCAGAAAAGTAAGAAAATTTGGATGGGAAAATGCTGATAACAGGAATCATACGCATATAGTATCTTTTTAGGCTAACCAATCACTTAAGGACTAAGGGCGCGTGGACAACGTGTGCTACCCAATCAAGCTTGCTCTATCTTGCGTGCTCGGAGCATGATCGTGTGTACAGGAGAACAAAAAGAATATATAAGAACGCAGCCTGTTGAATAAAGTGGGATTTGAACTTGCATCATATTGGTGCGTCGTTCTTTCCCACTCGCTAGGATGGCGCGCAGCAATATACCTTCATGCAGGAAGGTATAAAACTCCGTGTAAATGATAGCAATCCACAAGGCATTGATACCAACAAGGCCTGAAAAGTGAAATTTGAGTTTTATGTGGAGGAATGGTTGGAAACTGCATCTTTAATATGATCAAGCATCTTGTGTACGGTAAATAAAATTAGATGAGCTACAACTTCTAATTCTGTTGCTGTCAAGTATAATGGGTCTGCTTCCACTAAGAAATGATAAATGCAGTTCTTTAATTTTAGTGCTATGCAAATAGTATTAGAAGATTACTCCTGATGCTGGAATATCAGCCTCTGCTGGATTCCAGCATAGGCTGGAATATCTATTTCTTTGATCCATGATGGCATTTAATACTTATTCTTTTCCGTTGCCAATCTGAAAAGCAAATGTATTTCCCAAAGGCACTTTTCCTAGCACAAATATTCGTTGTTTGTGCAAAAGCATACAAGGAAGGAGATGGTAAAAGACCATGCACTTAGACCAAAAAGATCAAAAATGTGAAATTAAGTTCCAGGTCTGCAGAACATTGGTGGACCTTTGCATCCCCACTGGACGATGCACAGGAGAAGGCACGATGCACCTGCACCTGTGTCCTCCTGCCAGACCCAACCCTGCTCTTTCTCCCTGTTGCTAGAGTTCAAAGGGAGCAAAATCAAGCATTTTTCTTCTACCCTTCTCTTGGAAACAGCTTGAGTCTTATGAATGAAAATTTCCTGATACCTCTATGAGAGAGCTTGGGGAAGGTGCACATGGCTGGGAGGAAAGCACTATAAAGGGTGTCTACACGGAGCAGTGTTGCCACCAGTCCCTGTGTGAACCCAAAGAAACATGTTTGCTCAGATTCATCCAAGAGCCTGGATGTGTCCTGGCTTCATCTGTCGGCACTGCTTTGCTTCTTACCTGGCTCATCCAGCACAACAAGAGGAAAAGAATAAAACGTTTACCCTGAAAAGTACAATGCTTTATTTATAGCACTACTTACTTCATCAACATCTTGCCTTAGTCTTTCCTGTGCATTGCTCATTGGCATCCTGTGTCCTTTGCTGGGAGAAATGCTCTGTTGATAGTGGGCAATTCCATCCTTCTTGTTCTTAGGTACACTTGGGATGATCTTTGTATGTTTCAGCCCCATGCTTGCTATACTTTCTTCTATCCTGTAGGTCCACAGGGTTAATTATACCATGATTACTCAGGTTGGCTGCTCCTTAATATATGACATGATTTCTTAGGAAGGGAGAATCACACAACTGCACAAGCTAAACGAAATTTATGTTAAAGGAGTTGGGCAATAGTGACAAGCTAGACAATATGGGTCCAATATGGTAAGTTGCAGGTGCAGATGATGGATCTTGACCAATTTTGCAGAGATGGCTGAAATCAAGCAAAGACAGGTTCAAGGCCTGACTTGAGGTATATATAATTCCTATATATAGGAATTAATGTTCTAAAGCTATGGCTGAAGTACAAGGCTACAATTTCTAGGTGTGGAAAGGCAAGTCTTGGGCCTCTTAAGACCTGAAATTTCAGAAATTTTTGTGTGCCACTGATATGTTTGTGGCAAGCAAATACCCACCTTCCCCTGTAAGGAATTTCCAAGAGTTAGGTGGAATAGAATCCTTCAACCAACCTACAATACCATGGACTTTGCAATTGGAGGTCAATACTTCCAATTATTTAGCTAGCTTCTGAAAAGTCTCAAGTTTGATATCTTTAGTATGGGCCCTACAGGCCTGTGTTTTTCGAATATTCAGATGCTTGACTGTCTGAGCTCACATTTGCCCTTGTTTTACATGTCCAGCTACTGATACTGGAACCATTCAGCTTTGGAGCAATGATAACAGCCTGATGAGATTGGCAAGTGTGTGCTGAAGCAGAGCCCTGTTTTCAGATATGTGGCTTTCACATATCTACTTATCAACCTCTCTGGAGATCCAATGTTGGAGCAATCTGAAATAGTGGTGAGTTTTCTATTCCTCTTGCTACGGCATTTTTGGAAAGTTGAAGTGGTTCAGTTGGCGTTAAGTACAATTGGAGTCACACCTCCCCTTAGCTTTTTAGCTACAACTCAGGTTTCCATAGCAAAGACCAGCCTGTGTAGTTGGGTACCTGTCTTGGGCAGCTGTGCTTCCTTGATGACGTGTGGGTGCTGCGCTACCTGGCCTGTGCCTCTGAGCCAGGACCAGGTGTGAGAGGCCATAAGCCTTTGTGGAGGAGAGAGTTTCCATGGCATTAGCAATGTGCTGTCTCCAGCAGGAGCGTTTAGCAAGAAACTTATGCCTGGCAGTTCTGCTTTTTGCTAAAGGGCAGAATAAATATTGAAGTGCTACTAAGATCCAGCTGAGCTGTCTGAATAATCCTCTAATAAACTGCATAATAAAGAAGTGAATTCAGTAGGAGATCAGCTGTTTACACTGGTCTGTAATTGATCTCTGGCAAATAACGCTTCCACTTAACATCTTTTCTGCTTTCAGCTATGCACATGTGGACCTTTCAGCTATAGGGATGTGGAGGATGGGATGGCATGAGCTGTTTCCTTCCTCTCTACTTGCAGTGTCATGGTTTGCACAGTTGTCAGGATTAGGTGCATCCCGTGCGGTGGGAGTCGCTGCTGAACGATGGGCCTTTGCATGTGCTGCTTGCAGCTGCACAGATTTGTGGTTGTGGTGTGCTGGCTGGCTGGCAGAAACACCTTGCTAGGTAGAACTGATTCCACTTCTGCCACAGCTGACTTGATATCGAAATCTGACAAGGGAACTACTGGCTCAGCATCGCTGCAAGGAGGACTGTTTGCAGGAGCTTCCTCTAGGCCTTGCAGGGTAGGAGGCTGAGTACTTGCCGTGGTCTTTGACCTCTGATTTCAGGGCAGACACATTTTGGAAACATGGCATATAACACCTTAGAATCTGCACGCTGCTTCCTCCAAGATCCTGTCCTAGATCTATCTGCCTTGTGTGCTCTGGGCTTCTGGAACAGCGTCTTGGTGTGTTTGCTTTTGTAGCTCCAGGGCAGGTCAGACCTCAGAGTTTCTGGAAGGCTCCCTGGTACATTGTCTGTGATGGTGTGAACCTGAAGCATTGGAACAGACAATGATGCAAACACGGGTTTAATATTTCAGCATCAAAGAAGGGATCTGCCCTTCTCCAGTGGCTCATGTTATGGCACTGTACTCTTTTGTGCCATGGGGCAACAGACTGAGTAAGAGGAATTGGGTACTCTCAGCCAGCCCCTGGACACACATGCTTTCCTGCTCCTGCTGCTTCCTCTTACCACATCTCATGCTTGGGCAGGAGACCAGAGGAACCAGATGCTTGCGGTGTCCTGTAAATCCTGTTCCAAATGTCTTGGAGAGGGAGGTGATCCCTGCCTCCTGTCACAGCAGCTTCAAAGAGTGGGACACAATGGTCTCCTTAGGGTCTAAAGATGCACTTCTGAAGTCTTCTAACATGCCCTTCTGCAACAGACACATCTCTACCTAATACAACAGCTCAAGAGGCTCTGCTGTTCAGCCTGGTCCTTCCTCGGTGCTGTGGAGGGGCGGGTGCTTCCCACAGGCTCCCCTCCCACTCCCATGTGTCTGACAATTGCTCTAAGACACAGGGCACAGCATATTTTAAAGCTTCCCAACCCCTGTCTGAGGAGCTGCCTGGCAGCTGGGCCAGAGTTTGTAAGGTCTGCACCGAGCATGGATTGTGCTTTGGCCCCAGGACATGTTTTACATACGTACTTTGTAGTCCTGCTGCACACCTGAGCGTAGGGCTTGTTGGGTTGCAAATGACGCAGAGCCATGGGGTGATGCATCCCCTCAGTCAGGGGGTCTGGGTGGTGGGAGCCTGCTGACAGCATCTCCTTCCTGTCATCCCCACGGCGCCATTTGCCTCCTCCTGGCGTGCTCTCTGTGTGCCGGGGCACGCAGAGCTAGGGAACAGGCACGTTGGGTATGCAGAGCACATTGCCACAGGCATCGCTGGTTTGGCTGCTGGGAGGGCTTTCGTGGCTATGAAATGAGATAAGGCAAACAGCGTTATGTTGTTATTGGTGGACAAAAGAATTGAAAGTAAAGGCTCTGCATAACAACAACAAAGGATGTATTAAGTCTGATGTTAGATGGTTCATGAAATAATTTGTGTTTCCAAGTGTGTCCTAATCTCAGACAAAAGTGAAAATATAACAAGATGAACAGAAAATGATGGGTTATGCCTTTGGAACAAGGCACTTTAATTGAGCCAGATGGGCCCAGATGTTTCCTCCCACTCTCTGACTGAAATGATCACCTATTCAGAACAAAATGTGGGAGAAATTGTAACAAAGATGCAAGCAATTTCCACAAGCAGTGATTACACTAAGGGGACTTCAGGCAGCTCGTACTGCTCTAGTGAAGCTAACTGTGTATGAAAATAGGAACATTTGAAGGCTGACTTAAAGAGGTGCTTACTGCTGCTCACACTTCAGTTTGCATTTTGATCCAAGAAAGACTTCATAAGCAGTCCCCTCTGTCATCAACTGGCTTTGACTCCAGGTTTTCTTTGGGTCACTTGATATTTCTGTTCCTGGATAATGCAAGCCAACCTTTTCTCTCTGTTTCACCTTTCCTGATAAGTTTGGTAACAGAACCATTTTTACTCTAATCCATTTTTAGAGTTTTAGTTTGAAGTTGCACCTGGGAGGAATGTTTTTATATCATTGCGACATTTGACATGATCAACGTAACCACAGATCTTTGAAGGGGCATCTCACACTGAAAAGGTCTCCCTGCTTCCCTGCACAGGCATTTAAAGCTGCCAAGGGGTTGTGTGTGCACAGGGCAGTGGGAAGCATGCACGCACTCATATGCAAATGTGTCCATAAGGAAAAGTGGAGATTTAAGACTATATTAGTAGTCTGATAGGTGTTAGGAAGATATCGAGGCCATCAGGTCTGGAATCCTTCTGGGCATGGCGGA